GGCCGGGCCGCCGGCCACCCTGCGGGGGCGGCGCGGAGCTTTCTCCGTGGGGGGTTTTGTTTCCCCCGTGTTTTGTAACTGTGTTTCTGAGAGCAGATCTCCTTCGGGCCCGGCCGCCTCTCCGGTTGTCGGCCGGCTTCAGGCCGCGGGCCGCCTCTGAGGGCAGAGTGCCGCCCGTCCGTCGCTGTCTCCTGTCCCCTCCTTCTGCTCCCATCCTGTGGGACGGGTGATTTAATTCTGCCGTTCGTGGTGATAAAGGTGTGATTCAAACTGAGCGGCAGATCTTGCATAACCCTGCCAGGTCAGGTCTCTTGACACCTCCTAAGTGTTTTTAAAGTCTCTTAATTACCTGAAATCTCAATTAGCAACTATCCAGCTGGCTTACTTGAACGGGTAAACACATACCTGAAGTTATGAACCTTGCATTAGTATACACTTCTACATATTTTGTGCATTTTGCTTTCCTTTTTTATCCTGGTTTTGGCTCTGATATGGGTTAGAGAGCTGCCTAATTTTTCAGTGGTTTTCTCAACAAGGCTTAGACGCCATGGAGCGGGGATATCTCATTTCATTAACTGAGTGTTAATGGGGGGGAGGGGTGGAAGGGAAACAATTTTATATCACTTATTTTTTTTCCACTGGGGTTCTGAACTTTCAAATATAAACTCTGGGAGTTCACACACCAAAGAAGATTGTACGCTAGTGAATGCTGCAGCAGAGCCAGTGCTAGAGCTCTCACTGAGATTGTCAACTTCATGTCAATATCAATTCTGAATGTCAGTTCAGACTTCAGGGTCTGAACCCCCTTCCTTTACACTGTTGTCAATTGAATAATTTGAAATGCATGCTAGGAAAAAAAAAGAACAAATTCCTCCTTGAATTACTCTACGTTGCTTTTGAACTCTCTTTGAACAGGAAAAGTATGTGTGCTGTCATAGCTCTGCCTGTACAGCTCTGGCAGTGTGAGTGCATTGTGCAGGACATCCTAGCAAAACTGAAATGTTGTGACGTGTATTGTGCTTGGAATGCAGAAGCTGAAGGCAGAGTCAGTTTTAAGTTCTACTTCTACCAGGAGTGCCTGGTGAAAGTATTTGTTATACACTTGTCCTTAGGCAGTGAATCCTGTGTGGTGGCAGCACAGAGGATTGTGGTGTCAAAGCCCTGATCAGAAGCATGTGCCTGACAGGCAGGCTGCTCTTTGGTAGGCTGTGGAACCAGCTCTAGAGTTGCTTTGTGGGCAGGTATTCCTCAGAATGGTTGGAGACCTAGGCACTGTGTGTTGCCACAGCTGTTCAGAGAAGGGTAGATGTGTAAATAATACAGATGATATGTTGGATGTAGCCAGACTCTGTGTTACTCTTTTTCCAGGGAAAGAAAAATCACATCTAAAGCGCTTTTCATGTGTTGTCCTGTCCAGTAACGAGGCAGCAGTGCTGCACTTCGTGGCTATGATACAGAGTGCCTAATGGCTGTTAAATTAATTCCTTGGAGCTTTGGGATTGGAAGGATGTGTTGAATATGACACTTAATTGTGAAGAAACATCTTTGTTGCTGAGTAGGAAATAATCACTGTTTTCTCTCTTTTGCTATGACATAATTGTGGTTTACTTAACTGAAATTAAACCACATTTCAGGTGGTCTTTTATTCCAAAATTGCAATATCAACTCTCCACGTGCTAAGTAATTGTGAAGCAGGCCTCTGCAAATTCTGCTATTGGCAAATTTTTGATGATAATACATTTTGAACTGCTGTTGTATGGCATCTGCTTTTGTGCCTTCAGCCATTGTGCTGTGCTTTCAAGTTTTCATATGTAATCATAAAAGGTGGAAACTTTGTTTTGTTACCTTAGCAAAAGCTGCAGTTTTCTTGTAATTTCATTTCTGCAACAGCTGCCTGTTGGTTACAGCACCAGTATCCTGAGGCCCTTGGTCTAATCACCAGAGAGCCACTACATTTCTCAGTGTTCGGCTGTAGCTGGCAGAGGATTAGTCACTGTTGTTTTCATGAAAGCAAGTGTTGGAAATAGCTTTTTTTGATATTTGAATGATGGGCCTTTTGTTTCTTGAATAATTTCTGTAGTTGTCTTTAGAGTGCGTTGTATGCCTCGCTTTTATAGATCAGAGAGGAAGTTGGAGTCTTAGGATGTTTTTGATCAACATGTATTGGCATATGACAGCATGTTTATCAAGTATTTATATTATATGAAAAAACTGAAAGGCTGAGTAATTACACTTGTCTCCATGGACCTTTGTGTTCCAAGACAATAGATTTTGCTGTCTCTAATTTCCACTTTCTCTACAAATTTGAGAAACTATAAAAAGTGTTTAAAAGTCTGAATCAACTTTTGTTACATGTTCATGTTATGTTCGTGTTACATTCACTTTACATGTAGAGGTGGACATCTTGCTGTTCACTATTGTTGTGAGCTTCTAAAAGGTCTTAAACACATTGCAGCTGAGGTGTATTGGTTTGGAGTACTGGAGGTAGGAATGATGTATGGTGTTTCTTCTTCCGAGAAAGTATGAAGGATTAAGTTGTTGCTGTGCTTCATCCCAGAGTGATGTGTGCTTCAGTGATGGGTAAAATTAACCCTCTAGGTGCTTTATAAGTTACCTAGGGCTCCTTTGGCTTGCAAGGATGAAAATATTACCGAGGTGAGGGTTGTGGAAGCCTCCAAAGTACTTAAGGAAGAAATTAATCTTTTTGTGTTGTCTTGAAAGTATTATTCTGCCACTGAGGTGAGTATCAAAACTAGACTTGCAGGTTCTTTATTTATTATGTCTTAAAATAATTTCCATATTAAATTTATGGAGGATTTTTATTTTTCTTTTTATAGAACACATCTAGATTATAGTTCAATAAGCTTATCTTCATCTTGATAATGAGAGATTCTGCAGATATAATTATGCTCTCTCAGAATTGAGCAATTGTAGTGAGCTGCTTTCTTTGTCTCACCAAGACTACTCATTGCTTTCTAAGTGAATGGGGAAAGCCAGTTCAGCCTGGCAGGAGCTGTCTGCTCCAGAAAGCACAGAGAACTGTACTGAGCCATTTTCACCTTCATTGCTGATGAGGTAAACCAAGAAGGAAATTTCAGTTTGAGTATTAAATGGCAGGATTGGTAGAGCTGTCAGGGGAGAAGCTCTGACCTCGTTAGATTAGTAAAATGATGAAGGGTGGTATGGAGATCAGGGAGAAGTGGAGGGTGTGAAGCCCCATAGTGCCAGTTTTTGCTATCACTGCCCATGTTTGTGTCTCTGTTACTGCTCTGGGCTGGTGTTGTCTTCTGCTGTTCTTGTCTTTTTACCTTCTGCTTTGCTGTTCTTTCTAACGAAATCTTTGTGCCCACTTAAAAATATTGCTTCTTGATTCTGTTGCCTTGGTATGCAATGCCAGTTTTCTTTTCCTCTGTTTATTACCTCTTCAGATTTCATTTTAAATCCCAGGATTCTTTTAGTTGATTGGTTGTTTCTAAGAGGACTGATCCTGGAAGTTTTCCATTCCACTTTTTCTTCTGCACTCTATCTGTAGGCAGTCTGTCAAAACTAAGAGGGAACATGTAGCAGGCTGTTTCTGGGATCGTGGAATGTGCCTGGGGGAAGGGACGTGCAGATAAGAGCCATACTTTTCTTAGCTACAACGCTGTCATTTTAGAAGAAATACCAAAGTCACTTTTCATTATATAGTTATAATCTCTAAAACTTAAAAGTATATAGACATTTTCAATCTAAATGAGCATAGCAGTCCACATTGCATTTTGTGGGGCTTGTCACTGCAAATAAGGACAAGGCAGGGCAAAAAAAAAAAATTAGGCCTGTGTAAGAATAATGTCCTATTTAAATAATTTACCCTGCTGCTGGTATGATGTTTGTGAAGGAAAAAAACAGTGATACCAAATACTTTTGGAAGTACATACCAGTGGATGCTTTCACAGCATGTGTTACGACTAGCAGGTGGTATAACATTTTAATTTTGTTTCTGAAGGCTTGAACTAATTCATAGACACGTGCATACTCCCTGCGTTTTCAAACGAATGCCTCTGTATGATCAAAACCCCAGTTATTCAGTATTTTGATTTGTGGCACTTCAAAAAGCAGTGTTGCAAATAATCTTGCGAAGAAATCTAATGTAAACTTTGTGCTTGCCAAATAGTTTACATTTTAGTTGGATGTCTATTGCAAGGTGCTTCCGGAAAATCTTAGATGAAATGTAAGAAATTTGAGTTGTGAATTTCAATCTCATTTAAAATAAAGAAAAATGCTGTTTCTCAAAGGGGAAATAAGCATGTGGAGGAAAGGTGTGGTTTCAAGAGATACTTAAAGCTTTGAAAGGAATGAGAATGAGCTTGAAACTGAACCCTCAAGGATATGCATCTTCTTGCCATGTGGTACATTGGCAAAGGATAACTGTCATTTTCCATTTGAAGCTAAAAATGATACCTCTGCTGAAGCTGGGTGATTCATTTGCCTTTTTCTTTTTTTCACTCATTCTTTTTCTAATTATTCCTTAGGGTGAAAAATTTGGTCCCTTTGCAGGAGAGAAGCGAATGCCACAGGAACTGGATGAGAACACAGACTCCAGGCTCATGTGGGAAGTGAGTAGTCTAGAATGACATCATCACACCTAGCAAAAAAACCTTCTCAGAATTCAGTTTTTACTGTAATAAATCCTTTTCTTTGTTTCCCTAGCTTAAAGATACTGTAGTGAGATTTTATACTTATTGGTGCTTTTAAAATATGCTTTTTGTGATTGAGTCTTCTTTAGAAACTATCGTATCCTCATCGATGAAGTGTGAAAAATATCATCAAGCAAAACACAAGAATAAGCAACATGGTGAAAAATTATTGAAAAATGTGAAAATAAAACCAATTAAAATAATTTGAATACAGGAAGATGATTGTAAATTACTGAGATACTGATTAACAGGTTCATAGCTTTCTCCAGCTGTATATAAAACAGTTCCTGCTGGGACACTTGTGTTAGTGTTTGGTGACTGGATAAGTGAAGTTTTAAAATTTAGCAACCTTGTAATGCAGCGTGTAGTTATGTGATCTTTAGTGAAATAAAAACCTGGTGCTGTGGGTGGATGAAGGCATAATGAGTTTCAGGGCTCTTTTTAACTTTTTTTTTACATTTGTTAGGCAGTTGTTTATACACTAGATCGTGTAATGAGGTCTTTAATCCATCCTAATTCTTGTCTTACCTGTGTTTGCCTGTAGCAAAAATCTGAGGTTAGCAGTTGAGGAGCACTGAGTGAAAAATATTTGGAATAAAATGTTTCCAGCTTGTTATAAACACCTGATTTTTGGTGCTTCTGTACCACATTTGTAATCTTGCTTTTCTGCTATAGTTACTTGAGCAGAATTCTTTTCCATTTTCTTTCATTTTTTTTTCTCCTCAGCCAAGCAGTTTCTAGTGAATGCTTATGTAGTCCTGTTTTACACTGAGGAGGGAACTAATTTCCTACTTTTTTACCTTTCTGTAGTTAGAGGTGGAAGGTTGACTGTTATTTCTAAGTTGTGAGGGACTGTACAGAAAAAGTTTCAGATTTGACATCTGGCTGAAAGCACTATCTGTGCATTTATTACTAAATAACTGGTCATTGAAAAAAACCCCAAGCATTAGCATCACTGAGCTGCTTATAAAGAGAGCATAGTATTGATACAGTCTTAGCAGAGATATAAATAGATTCTATACAAATTAACAAAGGGAACAATGAGCAAGAGAATGCTAAAAACCCATCTTGTTAAACCCAAACTCATTGTAAATACAGTGAGCAGCAAAATATTCCTAGATGAGTGTCAAGTCTGTGCCTTTGTTTTCCCCTTCCCTGTTTTTTAGTTCTTTATTCTTTTTCCTTTTGGTGGGTGGATTATAGCAACCAGGGTTTGTTGGAAAGCCATGTAATTTTCCAGATTGCTTATTGTTGATCATTAAAAGAGAATTATCTGTTTCTGTAAGACAGAAAAGACAAATACGAGTATTTGTATTAATGATGACACTAATATGACCCTATCGACAGCAAACCAGAAAATGTGTTTTATGGGCTGTTCTAAAACCATTTCATAATATCTTGTGGTAACCTAGTTTTGAGAGCCTTGAAAAGATTCCTGCATACCAGATTTTATGACTTCCTGAATGTTTGAACCCAAGTTGTTCATATTTACTGAAGTTGATCTGAATGTGAGTATTATAATATAATTTAAATCATGCTGAGAGTAGTCTTAAGTTGAAAATTGAGACCAGCAATGCAGAAAGAAAAAAAGCTCAACTGTCCAAGTAGATGGTTATTCCAGAGACTGTGGGAGGCAGTCACAGCAAGTAGCCAACTTTGTGCATAGTCAGCTGTACCCAAGATATTAAAAATAATGAATTTGAATACTATTGAATGAAGACGTATTAAAGGCTGACCTCACAGTCTGATGGCAGTCAAACAAGTGCGTTTTCAGAGGGAACACCTTTAGAAAGAAGGCTGAGTAGTAGAAGCTTTTTGTAAGTCAAAAACTGAATTTGTGGAACATTTCTTCCTTTGGTTTGCGGTGTCTGGGATCTGAGCTTCAATTTTGAGGAGTACTTTTCTGTGAGGAAGTTTACCACATGCATTTCTAGTTGTTTAGATTCGTCATCTGTGATGTGGTTCTGGATCAAACTAATCCTTTTCTGTGAGACCAGCATTATGAGTTGGCATATTTAAGACACCACAATGAGACAGAATTGCATGCATTATGTTTTCTTTTGGTCTTTGGGAAAATATGGAACCCCAAAAATATATTTGGTCCAGTGATTTTGTTAAATAAAATTCTGAGGATGTTAGAGTTCGCTTTTAAATTAAATACAGCAGAATGGCATTCATCTGCCTGTAATTTGCAGAGTTTTGAAGAAATCAAAGGTTTACACGTGCTCATTCAACAGATTCCAGAGGAATGTGGGAGGGGAGCATCCTTGATTTTGTTGTTATCTTTATCAAGAACTACATGCTGACATGTTTTATTTACAAGTGATATGAAAGGGAAAAAAAACCCTAACCTGTGGTAACCATGTAGTTAGAAATAATAATAAAAAGCCAAGAACATGTGCAAACGACTATGCTTTTTCTTCCTCTCAAAAAACTCGCCTCCTCATTATCCCTCAGCCTCCATGTTGTTATCTCTCTGATTGAATTGCATGTTGTGCTAGTCAAGTATACAGTTAGTTGCTGGTCACAAAGTGGGAGTTTTGTTTTTATTCTTAGCATCCCACTAACACCTTGATGAAATACTGCTTTGTTGGTCTGTATTAGGATGCTTGGCTTAGCAGTTTTAAATTACATGTATTTGCTGGAAGAGCAAGTGCTTTAAGGCAAGAGCAGAATTATCTGGGTATTAAAGTTCACACAAGTTTTTGCCTCTGAGGGCTCAGATGTCCCTTTGCAAAGGGAAGGTATCTGTTCAGTTTATTTTCTTTATTGTCCCTAACCAAGAATGTGGCATTCATTTCACTGCTGTTGGATTGTGGGAAGTGTACTTTTGGGGATGACTTTGGCAAGCGTTGAAACGGGGAGGGCTGGAAAGACTTAGTCCATTTTCAAATACTCTGACATACCATGAAGAAATGTTGGTCAGGACTGGATGGCACGTAATACGCTGTGTAATGCTGAATGTTGCATATTTCAGGTTTGGTTTCTGTCTATCTGCCAAAATTGTTTTCTTCATTGTTCTGTGAAAACCAAGAAGAACAAACACATGCTGGAAATCGATCTTTCATTGGAAGCTAATGTTTGTGTTTATTTTTATGAGAAAATGAAATGAACTTATGTTTCTATTTCTTAAATCTTATTTAATCTTAATTCTATTATCTTACTAATATTCTTACCAGTTTGGGTTTTTAGCTAAATTTCATTAATCAACTCCATTAAAGCTTGACTTATTCATCTTTATGTTAAGTGTGTGACTTCGCTTTAATTTTAGTGACTTTTGGAACAGGCATCTTAATGATTTTGGGTGTCGGTGATGAGAAGAACCCATTCCTGAAAGTGATTGAGAATGTTAGCCTCACATCTTCAGTTATGTGGTTTAAGATATTAGATGGCACGTCAACTTACCAACATGTTCTGTTCTGAACATGTTATAGAGTATCATACACTGTTTGCTCAAAGGAGATTTGAGTATCCTTCCAGTGAACATTAAGTTCAGCTCTTTACAGAAGCTCCACGTACATTAGCAGAAGTCTAGGAGTGAGCTTTCTGAACTGTTCTGTCTCTGACAAGTTCAAATACTGTCATGTACCAGAAGGAGCTTCATTAATGTGAAAAACTGTTCTGTATATTTTGGCGGAAGCAAAATGTCACATACTGTCAGTGTCCCAAAACTTTTTAGTAAGTAAGCAAACCAACAGCTGCTACCTCAGTTTTCCATTGCAAGTGTTATTGTAATACTTTCTACAACATGTTAAAATGTGAGCTTCTACTCTGCAGAGCTCTCTGTGATGGAGGTCTGAAACTGAGAGTGCAGAAGTATTATATCTAGCTGTTTTATACTATTAACAATAAAAATCATGTTTTCAGCTCGTCAAAAAAACGCAGTGGAGAAAACAGTACCTTTCTTTACATGATTGTTTGAATGAATGTAGATTTTTAGATTTATAAGTGTTTAGAAAATGGTTTCCAGAAAGCATGCAGTGTGTTTACTGCCTTCAGCAAAGGTAACCATCTGCTTATTTTTAGTGAAGTGTTTTTTTTTTTTTCCTTCTTCTTTTGCCAGGTGTGCACCGTGAGCATTTGCAATCGCACTCATGAGCATTTTCAAGTAGCATGCACAACTTTAAGTGTATTTTAAAAATCTGGAGGCAATTTCATTGCAGCATAAAAGACTAGAAGATGGAGTGGTGCATGTTGATGGGCGTTACAAACAGCTTAGATTTTCTTTAGACCTATGTAGGTTTTCATATGGTAGCTTATAGAATAACTAGGTCCGCTTTTTGTCTCCTGAATGGTTGTATAGTGACGTTAATGTGGCATAATTTAATGATGTCATGATTGATCTCAAGGTAAAGCCTCCTGTGTGGTAACAGTGAATGTCAGGTATTTCATCTTACAGTGGAGACGTTTGACTAAATTGGTTCAGTGATGCCTTTTGTGTTGAGTTGCAAGATGATACTGCTTGGGCATCTCAGTTTGAGGTGCTGTCGTGTCTGGTGCATGCTTTAGGTATGTGTATACAGTTGGGGAGTTTGGCTGCAGTGAGGGTGTTGTAGTAAAATGGGAAGATACCTTACCATGAGTTATCAGGCATTAATTTGAATCTCCTTTGTTTTAGGCTTATGCCATAGTCTGCCTATACCTAAATATGAAACAAGTTGGTACTGAATTATTTAGCCTGAGAAATCAAAGGTGACTGTGTGTCTGGTCACATCACTCACTGGTGGTAGAAACTCCAAGTTATCTCCAGTGATTACAGAAACTCCAGGAACATCTTGGTCTCGGTGGTTGAAAGGGCCTCAGTAACAAATGGGTCTTAGACCAAGATGGTCTATTCAACTACAGCAAGCAGCCTGAATTTTTGTGGATTTACCTCTTTCTTTATAGGAGATAGGGGTAAGGTCACCTGTTTTAAAGCAAAACATGATAGTATGATGTTATGTACTAGCAGCTATGATTTTGGTTTGTTTCTAGCTCTTTCACTGATTCTCCATTTTGAGCACAAGCATATTATATAATCCTTCTAGGTCCTTGACCCATGAAGATGACTGAATCCTTTACGTTTTAGCAATGGTCTCATGATCTAAGAGTGTTTTTTGTTAGGTGGCCTTAGAAAATCATAGAATCTTTAAGGTTGGAAAAGACCTCTAAGCTCATCAAGTCCAACTGTCAACCCAACATGACCATGACCACTAAACAATGTCCTGAAGTGCCATGTCTGAATGTTTGTTGAACACCTCTAGGAATGGCGACTCCACCACCTCCAAATGAAGTAGAAATACTTTTGTACTTGAGTTCAGGTCCTACTAAATAGTTTTTAAAATCCTTCCTGACTTAACCGCTGTAGCTTGAGGATTTTAAGGAACACAGTAATAAATAAATAAATAATAAATAAAATAACATTCAGGCATGGAATTATTAGTGTAGATGGGTGACAGGTTCAAATGTCACATTTTTTAAATATGGAATGAATATATTCAGTCTAGTCTGTGTTAACTACAGTGCTTGGATTGTTTTTTTCCTTGACTTTCCTTCCTCACATCTGTGTATATGATGCAGCATTATTTCTTTACAAGCTGAAAAAAGAAACAGAAAACATAGCACATCATTAAGGGATTTGTCATATTCTTTTATCAATAGTTCCCTTATGTGATGTCTGCTTTGTGTGTGATACCTCTCAATTGGCAGAGACTGATAAAGCACATCTGAGATGATCATGTATCATGGAAATGAATATAAATTATTCTTATACAATTTAATGATCAAGCAAATGAAGAATGGATAAAAAGGTAGATAGTATAACGTATGTTTTTTATAATAGGACATTGCTCTTTTTCCACTTCAAGTCAAGATCTCATGGAAACCTTTATAGGGCCTACATGGTCTGTAGATAATATTGTTCCAGGGTGCATTATATGTGTCAGTTTGATACTTTTCACTGTGATTAATCTGTGTGTTTGAAAGTAAAACAACTTTTACAGTTAGAAATATTGGCACTTTTTAATGATGTGTCCTGAAGATGTGGTCTTCCTTTGGAAGACCAGTAACAAATTGTGAAGACTTATATTTGCAGAACTACAGTAGGTTTTTTTCTTTTAATTTAAGAACAACATGCTTTCACCAGCTGTTATTGTAATGGAATACAGCTTTTTCTTTCTAATGATGTCCTAAATGTTTAGCTAATTTAAGTAGTCATACTGAAGAAATATGATATTGCATCTATTAGAAACAAATACCTCAAGAATGCAAGCAATTTAAATACAAAGCCATGAAGACAATCTAATTTTGATCTTCCATAGCTGAAATCCCCAGCCCTTAGGAAGTACCTGCTCTGGATGCTTCTCGTTGACAGATGGAAAAGAAAATGTGTTCATTATAAATAAATCACATGGAATAAGAGTGTGGCTCTGTGACCATTTTGCATGGCTCTTGTCTCTTCTGTATCAGTAGAGATTCAAGTGATCTATTATTTAAAATAAAACCATTTTTTATATGGCAGCAGCAGCTGTATTTTTTCAGCAGTATGCCTTTGTGTTTTGAGGGGGAATGATTTGGTTAATATTAAGTTTCTGTTATTTACATTTTGTCAATGCAAGCTGGGGTTAGGTAAACTGTAGGAGTAAAATGCTGGCACTGGAACATGTGAAGGAGGAGAACTCAGGAAAACTGGAAGAGGGATGATAGGGTTGGAATGGGAAAGGATTTCTCAGGTTGTATTGGTTTCTGGCATGATGATAAAGAAAAGAGAACCTGAAGGAACAAAGAGAGAAAAGAACATGAGCACCAGTGACCGTGCTGTCAGATTAGGAAGACCCAGGAGTCAATTGCAGTATTTGTTTACTAAAGGAAAGGCTGAGAAAAGAGAGGGGCAGCTCAATGAAGGAAGCTGACACCAGTTGCTGGGTTTGGGTTGCTCCCATATTCTGAGGTGAATAAATATGTTTACAGAAGAAGGTCGATGTGCACCACAGTTGTGAGTACCTGTTGAATGCAAGAACTGCTTGCTGAGCACAAGCATACTTTAGTGTTTTACAGGTTTGTGTGTGTTTGGTAAACAATTTTAATTTTATTTATTTTTTAAACGTTTCAGGTTCGTGGGAGTAAAGGTGAGGTCCTTTATGTCCTGGATGCAAGCAATCCACGCCATTCCAATTGGCTGCGTTTTGTCCATGAAGCTCCATCACAGGAACAGAAGAACCTGGCAGCCATCCAGGTATATCTGGTGGATTTCTACCATTTGCTTCCTATTATGATTATTTACTAATTTGATCTCCCTTTGGTCTTTATCTCTTGCAGTAAAACTTTAAGATTTGAGACAAGCAGCTAACTGCTTTCATTTTCCTACCTTTTTAAAAAGTTAACTCTTGTGCTTGAATATAATACCATAAATAAGATTGATAGGATGATAGACCAAAGAGGTCCTTTGTTATGATATTGTGTGAAAGGTTTATATTAATCCACAGTGATGGAATTACACTGAATTACTTACATGAACTACTTCTCCTGGATTAAAGTGAACAATTTGCATAAAAAAATTCCCAAATTATTTTCAGACTATTTAACTCTCTACTGTAACAATTTAAGTTTCTCACTATAGCCTTATTCAGCCAATATAAGCTGTTGCCTGAACATAGTTCTTTCCTTGTTGCTGTGGAAATTAAAAAGATAACTTGGTAACTATATACCTGCCCGATTTAAGGCTAATTATTTAGCGGCCTGGTTGTGTTTCATGTGGAACTCAAGTAGGGGCTTAGGTGTGTGAAAAGCAGAATCCTGCATTTGCTTTATAGTTTAGAATTTAATGTAAAATCATGACAGGTTTGAAAGCAAGTATGGTGCATTGTTGTGGTGAGCAGAGCCCGCCCTAGGCAGGGATCGGCGTGCGGAAGATCTCGCGATGTAACGGAAAGCTCAGACTGCCCACGAGGGGCCTTGTGGGTGTGGCTTGTGCTATATAAGCAATTGCAGCTGCGCAATAAACGCCATTTGCAACATCCTTCACATTGAAGCCAGTGTCTGTGATGGTACCCAACGGCAGAGGTTGGGTGGCAGCTATCCCGGGGATCGGGTGTCGGTAACGACAGTGCATAACATGTTCAAGTGGAAAACAGAGGACTGAAGGATCTAATCATCTGGTAGGATGATCAGGCAACACATGAGGGCAAGTTAAGAAAAAAGGATGGTTTTCTAGTCTTGGCCATGGATCTGAATTTATCCAGTTTATTTTTACTTTTCTATATTTGTGATTTGCAGCATTCTGTTCTAACAAGTTCCACTGTTTTAATTACACAGTACGTTGAAACGTGCTTCTGTTTTTCTTCTAGAAACTTCTTAATTTCACTTGATTCCCTAGCCCTTGTACAGCAGTGAATAGTCACTTTATTTCATTTTTCTATGCCATACTTGCTTTTATACAACCCTTTTGTATCCTTCCCTCTTATTTGACAGCTCTTTTCTCAAGCTGAAGAGTCTTGGTCTGTTTAATCTTTCATTTTTGGAAGCATTCCGTGACTTTGCAGAATGCAACAAAGACAGTGATATTTTTCTAGTTACCACTGTTGTCCTTTTGGAGATTATGAAAGAAATGATCTATCTGCATATTTTTTTTCGCCAACAGCTCAGTTTTACAGTGAAATAATTTCCAGTCCCACATAAATAAGAATTACACAGCTGTGTTAAATTTCTTGCTCAAAATGTTCACTTTGGAAAATGTTATTTCAGGCTAACCCAAGCTATTTGCTGCTGTAATCCAAATTTGCAAGAAATTAGGAAAAGGAGAATTACTTATCAGCACTTCTTAAAATTATCCTGCTTTTTCATCATGAGATGACTTTTCATAGGATTTGCCTGAAGATCCTTGACAAAATAATTTAGAAACATAGTTTATTTTGAGGCCAAACAAAAAGAATTTTGATTTTCCTTGCTAAGAAAACAAAGTTAATTTCTGATGAAATAAGAGGAAAAAAAATATTATTTAAAAACTACTAAGTGGAAAAAGAATACTAGTAAAGGCCTAGCATGTAGGTCTGTGAAAGATGTGTTACTGCTGTTCTCCTCCCTGCCCCTTCCCCTCTGTTTGTACTCAGCAGCACTCAGTACTGGTCGTGCTCTGGCAGGAGTGTTGGGCTTGATGATCTCTGGAGGTCCCTTCCAACCCCTGATATTCTGTGATTCTGTGGTTTCAGTTTCTGTGGTGATGACCTGTCCAACTCCATAGATCTCCTACTCGCCATGGGGACTGTTTGCTTGTTTGGATCCTAAGCAAGTAATGCCCAGTAAGATTGTTGCCTCCAGTTCCGCTGCATTCCTGGTATCAGCCTCCCTCTTCCTGTCCCTGTTGTGAGCTTTTCTGTGATTCCCATTCCACTCTTGTCTCCTAACACGCCTCTTCTGCCTGGCTTTTCTTCCATTATCACAGTAGTTTAATGCTCCTATTATGAGGATACTGAGTTGGGAAACCTAACAGGGTACCTGCCAGCCTTCACTTGATTTGTGGCTCCTGCTTTCCAAAGCTCTAGTTCTGCTGAACGTCAGCCTTTGACATCCTATCACATGTTGCTGGCTGAATGTGTCTGAAATTTTGCTGGTGATGTTTCCTTGGACCTCGTTGCTGTTCTGTTCAAGGTCATTATGGACAGCTTCATCATCTGCTTTTCCTCTGAGCCTGTGCTCTAGGTTGTCATCTTTAGTTCAGAACCTCTTTAAAGTCTTAACATCCAGGCTACAACCGAATTTTGAGTAGTGGGTAAGAAATAGCATTCATCCATTCAGCAGAAATGCTTGTCAGCACTGACTGAATGCTTTATTATGCTCTTCCTGATGTCTGTAACAAGTCAGTAGTTAATGCAGTATGACCACTGCCTATGCAATTATTTGTTTTTCCTTCTGTCTTTGTCTCTCAGTTATACCAAGATCTATCCAAAGATTTGTTGTCCTGCTTATAGTACCAACTATGAATGGTCCTCATACATGGTCCTAGGCATTAGGCAGTGATCAGTATGTGATCATTGTGATAGCAAATTACAGTCAAAAGTAAGCTTCACAAGATGGAGCAGTGAAAGCAATCCATGTTTATTATTTTATTTTAAATAAAATACTCAGTAAAATGACCTGAACTTCTGAAAAGAAGTTCTAATGAAATATCCAATATGTACCAGTGAGTTTTTTTGATAATGAAAGTGATTATTTAAATAAAGAAACAGAAAGAAACCATTATGTTATCTTGCATGTTATATCTTGCTTAGACTGTGTGTAGTGCTTTTTTCTGCCTTTTTAAAGGATCATACTGGAGTTAAGGGATGGCTGAAAAAGAGAGAAAGAGCAAGAATGTTAGTCCTATAAAAACTTCCACAGCAAAACATTTGGAAAAATTCCAGGGAAAAATAAATGCTATCAGAATGTACAAAATGATAGGAAGTATAGGAAAGGCAAACTTAGGAAGACAAACAAAAATCTAATAAATTATCTCATAGGGGTTTTTAGTACCATCAATAATTAGCTGCTGAAGTAACTTGTATGAATGATTATGAAGCTGTGTAGATCTATTTATAATTGCATATAACCTGAATATCTACTAGTGTTGAAAAAAGCTGAATGTACAAATATTTCTTCACTGAGTTTGATATCACTTCAGTAGATGGATGCAAATCCCAAAACTCTGTGCTTCCTTTAGGGGAAAAAAAAAAAACAAACAAACAAACCAAATATAGCCCACAAATCCTTCAGTATTTTAACTACTCAATCTTTGTCTTTAATGACAAGCAGATTTAAGGCCACTTGGTGCAGTAGCACTTCGTTTTATGAAATCAGTGGGCAAAACATTGGTGGAATGTTTCCACTACTGAAACATTAATTTGAATTGAGTGTTGCCTGCTTGCCACCAAGATGATAAAGTGATGTTTTACAAAGAGGAAGAAGTTATGAATTACATCAATAAAGTGTTTTAGTTTCGTTATCATTACTAAAGCTCATGTGGCTGAAAAAAAAAGCTGCATTTCTGATGAAAGACCTGAAATAATTCTAATTCTTAAAACAATGGAATGATTACATAGTATATTAAAAAGTAGAATATGTCTACGTAGTTACAGAAATGGCTAATTCACTAAGGGTAGAAAATAGAATATCTAGAGATGGTTACAGACTTTGTGTTCTAACCAGGGCGTTATAATTACCCTTGTGCAATGTGAATTTTCTCCAGACATTTGTATTTTATGAAGGTTTTTGTGGGGTTGGCTGTGTTTTTAAGCAAGTATCTAATTTCACTCTTTCAGTACTACTGCTTACTCTTTTGAGTGAATCTTCAGCATTGATTTTCACAAGTTCAGATTGATTAATTGAGAGTATTTGACCAAGATTGTTGATACTAACCTATAAAATGTGAAAATAAAGGTAACCACAGTGCTAGAACAGGGGTTTCTCTTGCTTGTCCTAAGTCTGTTCTGTGGATGCTTGAGAATTTACCACTGGTTGTGTGCTTCACAGCTGCCTCTCTGCAATTTTTTAGGAGACTTTATCTGATCAAACAAAAATGTGAATGGAAAATAATGATTTCCTTGTTTCTACCCCCTAATGCTAATTTTCACTAATTATCTTTCCTGCTAGTTCTGTTTCCAGTCTCCAAATACTCCCAAGAGGGGCTTTTTGGTCTATTCTGAGAATATTTCTGATCTCTCTAGTAGTGATATAAATAGGTAGTAGATTATAAATGTTATAATCTTATACCCAAAATAAAATGACTGATTATCAGTTTACTGTTTGTTGCCTAGTGTTCAGTATTCAGTTTAAAAGCAGATCAAGTGAATGCCTATATCCTTGTATACAACTAAAGTAAACCACACTGTGGGTTGCCTGCAAAATATGATTAGTTCATCATAGCTTAATTGTACTCAGTGATGATGCTTAGATTGTGCAAAATGCTTCCTGAAGAAGCAACTTGGAGGGCATGGGAATTTTTTTAAGCAAGCTTTGTTGTGTGGGTTGGTGGTTCTTGGTGTTGTGTGTTTGTGTGTGTGTGTGTGTTTTTTTTTTTTAATATTTTTTTTTTTCCTTAAGGAGGGTAGTGGGTTCCTTTTGTGGTTTTGTGTGTTTGTTTTTTTTGTGTAGTGTTTTTTTGACTTGTCCCTGTAGGGCTATGTATTTTGTAAAACCCTGGTTATGACGGGAGCTCTTGATGGTGTTGTGGGGAGCATTCTGTGTGCTGAATTCTGCCTCTGC